GCCATGGCATGTCCCGTAAGATCGTGGCCGGCGGCAAGTACGCGACCGTCTCGTGCGGGCCCGTCGGCAGCTGCAAGCCGGACGTCATCGTGGCGATGGGGGCATCCTCGACGAGCGAGTCACCCGTGTGCGACGTGCAGAGCTCGCGCAGGGACGCTTGCAGCGCCATGTCGACGTTGGCGGCTTTGGCCAGCGCCAAGACGACAAGGTGCCCGACACACTCGTCTTCCTACGTAATGACGTCCGATAGCACCGAGCACATGGCAGCAGTCTACTACCTCTTTCCGCGTACGCGCACCCTTTTCCATCTCGAGCTTGAAGTGATGGACGGCGTCGACCGTGTGGAGGGAGAGAAAGGCGCGGTGCGAGCCCCGGCGCGGCTCGGACGACACCAAGGCGGCCGTGCACCCGATGCCTATGGAACACCAGTGAGCGTTCAATGCGCATCAGAGACGACGTTTGCACCAATGCACCCGGCCGCGTCGTCGAGGGGCACGAGCCGCCGGCCACGCTCGAGCGCCTTCTTGCCCATGAGCGTCGCCACGTTTTTGCTTGAGAAGCCGAACGCCTCGAGCTCTGCGCCAGGCACTTGAAGGAAGTCGGCCATGCTCTCGCGATGGTAGGGAACGAGCACTTCGAGAAGCGTGGACGATGCGCCGCAGGTGCCGAGGATCTCGCCGACGGCGCTGCCACCGCCGCCCGAGACACTCACGACACACTGCACGCGCTTGGACGCATAGATCTGCTGGAGCGCAGCCCGGACCGTCGTTGCGGCTGCCATGCTTGCAATTTAATTCTCGCTTTTTGCCCAATCAAATGCAGCGGCCGTGATCGACTTCAAGTCCCACGGACAAGCATCGCATCCTCTGCCCAGGTCTATTGCTTGCAGCGCAGAGCGGTAGCGAGGCCATGCATGCGCCATGTGCGGCCTGCATACAAGCTGTATCGTCATTTACCGATGCAGCGGCGTGGGCTAGGCGTTGATCCCAATGCCTGATGATGGTCGCTCGTCGGCCTACACTCGCGCCTCCTACGACCTATTAGGTGGCGCCACCAAACTCTGCGGCCGTGTACATCCAGCTTTGTGTCCTTCGAACGCCTCGATGCAAGCCGACCTGGTCATTGCAACGGACAGTGCCAGATTCGTAGTTTGATGGGAGCCGACCACTCGACGCCACCGCCGACCAAGCAGCGCCGCGTCGCTATCCTCGGGCCGTCGGGCGCCGGCAAGACGACGCTGCTCCTCCAATGGACCCACCACGCTATCGTACCGACGCTGCCCACCGTCGGGTTCAATGTCGAGACCGTTGTCTTCGAGGACACGCTCTTCACGATGTGGGACATTCCGGGCCAAGTCGCGTTGCAGCCATGCTGGCCGCAGTACTGCAGCAGCGTCGATGCAGTCGTCTTTGTCGTGGATGCGACCGGCCGCAGTAGCCTCGGTGCGGCGCGGGACGCATTGCACGCGGCGTTTGCCGTCGCCCGTCCATCTCGATGCCTCATCGTGGCCAACAAGATAGACCAGCCCGAATGTGTCGATGCATTGGAGCTGCTCGAGATCCTTCGACCGGGCGATGTCTTTGGCACGTCCTGGAGCTACTGCGCGGTGAGCGCAACGCAAGGCGAGGGCCTGCGGCAGTGTCTCGCCTGGCTCGCCCACGAGCCTCTCGACGACGGCGCGCTGCTACAAATGCAAGACGACGACGACGACGACGCCAATGAAGAGGAGGCGCGGGATGATTGGATCTGGATTGGATCTGCCACCCACTTGCCCGGGTCGCTGGAGGTCTACTATACCGACATTCCGCTCTAAGCAGCTTGGATAAGACTGAGACTTATGTTTCTGGTGAGCAGCTTCGAAATGGAAGTGGCAAGCACGACGTGAAGCGACACGTGCATTCTCGACACTGTGCGCCGAGATCTCCGCTTCGATTCAGCCGACGATGTGTCGGCGCCGACCGAGGTTTTTCGCAGAGAAGACGAAGAACGGGTGCGCGGAACGTGGCTGCCAATGCCAGGAACTCGTATTGTGACCTGCTCGATTGGCAGGATTAGCCCCAACGAACCACAAGTCCTGTGGCATGTGCTAGTATGGTGAGATAGGGCGGTCCAACACTCGTATTATGGCTTCCTCGTCCTTCGAAGGTAGTACTACTTCACAGCAGGTTCGAATCGCGTACTACATGATCGAAGACGGTGAATTCACGGCTGACGAGAAGCTCTGCGAAGATGCAATGTCCCTGCTTCGGGTGGCGGTTGTACGCGGAGTATCTGGCGATGTGGGCGCTTGACGACGGCTGTGTCAGCGGTTGATCTTTTGAGGTGGGCCCTTATGATTGGCTGAAGCAAGCAGCCAATCCCCGACGAGGCATTTCGACACGGCAATCGGTGATTGGGTCCACGGCGCAGAGTGGTGGAGGCGTTGGATTGGCGCCTTGTAGAGGACCATGGCGCCAAGAGAAGATATAGGCGATGCTCAGATACCAAACACCACTGTCAAAGAGCAATAACACATCATGGGCAACCTTTACGCCAAGCTTCGCCACGTCATGGATCGCTTCGCAGGGACGAAGCGCCGCATCATCATGCTCGGCCTCGACGCGGCAGGCAAGACCACGATTCTGTATCGCCTCAAGCTCAACGAAACCATGCACACGCTGCCAACGATCGGCTTCAACGTCGAGACGTTCACCTACAAGAACGTCGAGTTCACAGCGTGGGACATTGGCGGTCAAGACAAGCTGCGCGCGCTGTGGAAGTACTACTACCAAAATACGGACGCCATCATTTTTGTGGTCGACGCCACCGACCGTCACCGGATCGATATTGCCGCCCACGAGCTCGCACGCATGCTCCAAGAAGACGAGCTTCGCGACGCAAAGCTACTCGTGTTTGCCAACAAGCAAGATTTGCCGGGCGCCATGTCGGCCAGCGACGTCGCACGCCACTTGAAGCTGGACCAAGCGACCAAGAACCCGACGTTTGTGCAGCCGTGCTCGGCCGTTGGCGGCACAGGGCTATATGAAGGCCTCGACTGGGTTAGCAAAGTGCTTACCCAGCAGCAGTAGCCTCCTCATTCATCTAGCCTTTAGTAGTACTAGTATTGCATTCCTATGACATTTATCTCGAGCATTTTGATTGGCTTTGATGGAGGGACGTATGTTGTGCGTCCAAAGTGATATGTACTACTTGTATGCAGGTCTAGAAGCTTCGTTTGTGGGTGTTGAAGAAAGCCATCACCATGGACAGCGCCGTGGAAGACATCTAGAAGCTGTATGTTTCTTATGGCCATGGACGGGCTCAAAGATGCGGGTCGCCACGTGGGATCAACGCAACGGTGTGGATTGGCCCACTAGAAAATAGAAGCACCAATCAAACGCGTTATTTTATGCACCACGCGGCCGGATTGGCTACTTGAAGATCGCGCGCCAAACGAGAGCGAAAAATGCTCCCAAAGGCGGCCCCCGGCACCACGGCCGTCGATATCGAAGCGTCGCCGTTTCCTTCGAACGCACTGACGACAACAAAGTCGCAGTCGCCAGCGCTGGCGAACGCTGTCGTGGCCATCAAGCGTTTCTAGAACAAGCGGCTTGGACCGCCAGCACGAGATGGCGGATCGTTTTGAACCATCATTCTTGGATCGCGTCCGGAGAGATTGTACGACGTGCTTGTACATGTCTATGCTCGGCAGGGACCTTCATTGAAAACAAGCATCACGGTCGCGCCCGATAATCAACCTGCGGTTCTTACGACTTGTTTTTTTGGTCGACTTAATACCACCGCTTATGTTCTCGATCAGGAAGCACCTCTTGTAGGGCGAGCCTCTTCCGCCCCACGCTTAACAGCACTTAGCGTAGAATGCACCTTCATGCGCGTTGCATACCCTGTATTGCGGCCCTCTATCGCCTTCAAGGCCGACACGCGAGACGTGCGGCGCGAAAGGGCGTGTTCGATTTTTTATCCGGTCGACGGTGGTTTCGTATCCGGTCAAAACGAAACCGATCCATGGCGGTATTAAATGCATACCAATCGCAAGTTGAAATTAAATTTCATTCTCACACGGTGTCGAGGCTGGTTCGAAATATGCCCTCGGCCGGTCGATCGATCACATTGAAATCGTCGACCGAAACAGCAAGCAGCAGCTCTCAGATCCTATAGCATGGGCAACATCGCAAACAAGTGCAAGACCAAGACGTCATGCGTCCGGCGGCTCCGCATGCTCTGCGACCGGCTCGCGTGGCGGGAGACGCCCCGCAAGATCTACATGGTTGGCCTCTCGAACGCCGGCAAGACGTCCATCTTGTACCAGTACAAGTTTAACGAGGCAACGACGACCGTGCCAACGATCGGCTTCAACGTCGAGTCGTTCAGCTACAAGACCATCTCGTTCACGGCATGGGACTTTAGCGGCCGCGAGCAGCTCCGGCCGCTGTGGCGCTACACTTTGACGACACGGCGGCCGTAATCTTTGTCGTCGACTCGGCCAGCACCGTGCTCATGCAGGAAGCCGCCGAAGTTCTCCATGGCCTCCTCAAGGTGCACGAGCTCAAGGACGTGCCGTTTCTCGTGTACGTCAACAAGCAAGACATTCCGACGTGCATGAGCGTCGACGAGGTCGCCGAGGCGCTTCAGCTCAACAACGTCATCTCGCACGACGTGCAGGTGCAAGGTTGCTGCGCACAAACTGGCGATGGGCTCTACGAAGGCCTCGACTGGCTTTGCAAGTCCATCCGCTAGGCCTCTCCATGTTCTCCTATCTTTGCTCCTTAGACTTCCTCCATACTCGCCGTTTCTCGATCTATCTATTCAATGAAATTCCATGTAGCGTGTGTTTGCTTGCTTGCATCAGTACGATGTTGCCGCTTGCGCCTCAGCCGGAGGTCGTAGATCCCTGCTTTGATGCAGTTGCCCACACGGAGCAGCCTCAACCTCGCCGGGCAGGATCAGTGGGGCAGGATATAGGATCGCAGACGCAACAGAGGATCGCCGTCGGTGCATGCACATCAGCCCATCTCGTACAGGTGGCCTGGCGTCATTGCAGCCGTCGGTCCAGCTGGCGGTGGCCGCCGGTCTGCCGCAGCTGCGTTGAAGCCCATGTCAATGAAGTCGGGTTTCGAACTTCGAAGTGTCCAATTAAGTGCGCATAAAAAGGCAGATAGTATCAGTACATAGAAACAACAAGTGTGGATTAAAAAAACGTGCTGTTCCAAATTCGAAGCGAGGAAAAATGGGGCTTTTTGTCTGGACGTCCTTATTCCCCAAGTCATCGCCGCCGCCGCAGCAGCATGGAGTACCGCAAGTCGAAGCACACGATCATCCTCGTGCAGTACACGGAGGACCCGAACTCGCGCACGTACCTCGACTTCGAGTCTGTGAACGGCGCCATGGACGGCGTCGTCAAGATGTACGAAGCCAAGCTCAAGCAACTCAACCCGTCGAAGCGCAACATCACGTACGACATCCAGGACCTGTACAACTACATCGACTCGCTCGCCGACCTGAGCACGCTCGTGTACGTCTCTGCAACATGTATGACAAGTAGCCTCATCGCGTGTATGCTAGGCTGGACCTCGAGACAAAGACATATCTCCCGAGCGGGAAGGAGTGGATCAAGAAGAAGATCTTCCAAGTTCTGCGGAATCAAGCCTCGTAGACGAGCGTGAAGAGCCATTTTTGACCCATTTTAACCTTAAAAGCACGCACCCTAATCTTCGTCATGGAGCTGGCGCCGCGCTGCCTCGTAGATGTGATGCATCTGCACCGCGATCATGCCAAGGAGCACGAAACGCACGACGGAGCGCTTCGAGAGTCGAAGCATCGTGAGGCCAACGGCGCTAGCGAGGAGCAGTAGCAGCCATCGTCCGGCGAGCTGGCTGGACGGCGCGGTCCATGGTGTCGAGTCCATCGTCGGCCCACACGAAGAACTTATTGCCGCCTTTTGGCTTCATCTCGAAAAGGCGCCTTCGAATTTATTTTGCTCCGTGGCCATTACTATTTCTCCAACATTAAAAGCTGCATACATATACCAAGAGCATTGCGTGAAACGAAATAAAATATGTGGGCACGCTTGCACCTGTAAAAAAGTAAAACCATTCAAGTACCCAAATCTTCTTGAACGGACAGCATGGCCGACGCCGAGGCCGCGCCGCCGTCCGAGTACGTCAAGCTCATTAGCGCCGAGGGCCACGAGTTCTACGTCGCGCGCAAGTGCGCGCTTGTGTCGGGTACGATCAAGGCGATGCTCTCGGGCCACTTTAGCGAGAGCAAGGGCGAGGTGCGCTTCCCGGACATTGGCGCGCCGATCCTCGAAAAGGTCATCCAGTACATGTACTACAAGAAGCGCTACTCGAACAGCAACGCGCGCATCCCCGACTTTGCGATCGAGCCCGAAATGGCGCTCGAGCTCCTCATGGCCGCCAACTACTTGGACTGCTAAGAGCTTCAATCATCGTCATCATCATCGTCCTCTGCTTCATCGCTCGCGCATGGCGTCGTCACACGACCTTCTTCTTGGTCGTCTCGTTGTCACAGAGCCGCATAAAGTGGGCGGTTTGCCGGCGAATCGAGGCGCGGCAGGCGTAGTACGCATGGTACATTTGCGCGCAGAGGAAGACCAGGTGCAGCACGGCGAGCATCTAGGACGCACTTCGAACCCACACCGCCATGGCGACGCGAATACCTCGTCGAACGGCAGGCTGTGCTCGGTGCCGCAGACCAAAAGAGCACGCAGGGCATTTGCGGCACGACGGTCAGAAAGGCAAAGCCCACGAGATGGGGTACCTGGGATGTCATGCATTGTACTACAACGAAGAACGGTATATGGACCGCGCTACCTTTTCCAAGAGATTCCCGCTGTAGCCCAAGTAGAGACGCAGTACGTCCGTGGGCACGTAGATGCAAACGCAGCAGATCTCGGCGTACTTGCGTATCGTCGACACATACGAGAGCACCGTCATCTACCACGGAGCCGCAGCGATGTCGCGTTGTGGAACAGCCTAGTGGTGGCGTACCTTGTGATAAAAGACAGCGATCCAGATCGGGTACGTGAAGGCGTCAAAGTAGACGTTGTAGTAGAGCAGCATTTGCAGCGGCAGGTTGACGCCGACTTCGGCTTGCTGCACTAATGGCCGGCGCGATGATGCACATACCTAGGCGCATGCATACCCGGGCCTACCAATGTCGCTGCGGTGGTCCATGGTAGTAAATATATCTCTCGACCGTCGTAAGATCCAAAAACGACTTTTGAAGCGACATGTCGGGCCTGCGGAGCATGGAGACGACGCATACGAGCACGGTAAGTGCTTCGTCTAACGCACTAGAAGATACGAACAAGAGTGTGCAGGTGGTGCTGCGATGCAAGGCCGTCGTCGTGGGCGACGCAGGCATCGGCAAGACGGCGCTGCTGCAAACGCTCAAGTCGAGCGGCCACGACTACCCGAAAAACTACATCATGGTGGGCCCTCGTGACCGTAGCAGAGCTCGAGAGTGGGGCCATTCTAGACGTCGTCGCCCGAGCTCATTGTCAAGTCGCTGCCGATTCCAGAGACGAATGCGATTGTCGAGCTCTACTTGCTCGACTGCCCGGGCCAAAGCATTTTCAACCAGCGCGAATTTGGCTCCATGCATGTACGGACGTGTGATACGGACTCTCTGGACGATGCGCCTAGTTTGAGGGCGCATGCATGATCGTCCTGGTCTTCGACGTCAACAGCAAAGAGTCGTTCAAGTCGTGCATCAAGTGGTACCAAGAAGTCGCCAACCCCGCGCCCAACCACCAGATTTCAGGTACGCTCTCACTGTAGTCTAATGGTAGGCGCATGATGGCGTAGGCGTCCTCATTGGCAACAAGGCCGACGAGAAGGAAGGCAATCGCGACGCGATCTCGACCAAGGAAGCCGAAGACTTTGCCGAGCAAAACAACCTCAAGTACTTCGAGTGCTCGGCGGTACGACACCCGAATGCCAGCGCCGGGTTCGAACCTTGCGTAGCGCCTCGGTACCAACATTGACGCACCCTTCCTGCACATGGCCACGACCTTTAAGAAAAAGTACGACGACCTCGCCGAGCGCGCCGAAAACAACTAGGTCGAGAGAGAGTCGACTTTGTTGCATGATGTAATACCTGTCACTCTAAAGCATCTCGAGTGGACGCTCTTCGTCTACAAAAGTGTGTAGCGATCTAGTCGTTCAAGCAACCATTAGTGAATGGCGTAGCGAGATCATACCGCGTCGTGGCCTAGCTTAAAACAGTATACAGCCCCGCGAATGGTATACATCCCTGCGAATGCAGAGAGGAGAGCGAAGGAAGGACCACGGGTTGCTCACTGGTTGCACGTCAGTGTCGATGGACCATCATTTTCTCTCGGCGCATACCGCGTCTTGAAGGTCCTTGCCGTCCGTGCTCGCAGTTTGAGATACCTTCACCTACTACGTAGTAGAAGGTTTACTTGAGTTGTGTACGATATTGTCTTGCGTCCTTGACTAGGTAGCATGGTGGAATGCAACAAACTCTCGCGCACGGGGGGGGTTGTTTTGAGTTTTTCCGAGTCCAATCGCGGATTTTGAGTTGAGTTTGAGGGCATGGGGCATGCTTTTAAAAGTATGGTAGTTTATATTTAAATTGGTATGATACATTAAATATTGAATAAAAGCACGGCCTGCGCTCCGTGGCGGTCATTTTATCTCAGCGACGGAAGGAGAGACAACAGGAACCGACCATGCAGATCCAGATCAAGGTAGATGTTTCCTTCCGAGGAGGACGACGAACTCATGGAGATGCATCATGCTTCGTAGACGCTCACCGGCCGCAAGGTAGATGCGCTTCCTCGCCCATGTAGGCGCTGGCGATGGGCCTCATGCGTGGACCGCTTCGTAGCAAACGTTCAACTTTGAGCCCGACAACACGGTAGAGATCCATGCAAGCCAAGGGAGATGCACGACATGGGCATGTAGATCCTGCACGTCAAGCAGGCCCTCCAGGAGAAGGAAGGTATCCAGGTCGATCAGATCCGGTACGTTGCCGCCCCTTGTGCGACGCCAGCTGACCGAGGGATGCATGACTAGGTTGATTTACAGCGGCAAGCAGCTGTAGGCCCTTTGACTTGAGTCGTAGTGTGAGATGCTCATGCGCTTGACTAGGGCCGATGACAAGACCCTCCAAGACTACAACGTTGCGGCCGGCGGTACCATCCACATGGTGTTGCAGCTTCGTGGCGGCTGCTAAGCCTGCTGCCGTGGAGCAGCCGATCGACAACGACACAGATTAGCCAGCAAGCGCCATGTTATCTCGTTCTTAACACGCGATTGCCTCGTCACTACATAGTACGGTCAGGACGATGCTTTACTGCGTCTGCGCTGCTTTTTCGAGCTGGGCCTTGATCAACGGGTCGAGCTGGCCCTTTTGCGCCAGGATCTGAAGCAGCTTGATCACAAATGGGATGTAGTTGTGCTTGCGGCGTGCGTTCTCGTGCTTCCAGTTGGCACGCTTCTGCTCCTCACCCGCGATGCACTGCTGCCACGACTGCAACTGCGCCGCGACATGGGGCGTCTGGTCTTGCTCGAGAAGCTCCGCAATGTGGTGTTGGGCGACTTGCATACGGTTGCGAACAAGCGCGAGGAGGTTGAAGCGAATCTCGGACGACGCGTACTTCTCGATGCGGCGCTGGATCACAGGCGTCGCGACATCGAGCCACGAGAGACCCGGAAGACCACCCTACGACCATGTCGATGAGTCGTGGTGGGGCCATGCAGCCACGTACAGTCGCGATCGGGCCCAAGCTCACGGGGCCAGGCGCAAGGCCATCGAGCTCGTACACTTGGCCTTGGAACGGGACGTATGCAACAAAGTGGTAGACCTCGTCCGAGTCCTTGGCCGACGGCTTCTCGTCGTCCATGACAAACGGCTCCGCGCGTGCAAACGAGTTGTGGACGGTGCGGATCGTGTCGCTGTTGGAGATGGCCAAGCCCTTGATGTCCGACGGAAAGTCGCTCGTAAAGCCTTTAAACTCCTTGAGCGTATCGCCAATCTCGACGTTGGACGACGCTTCGAGGTTGAGCAAGATGGAGAGGATCGCTTGCGTCGCGCACGCGTTGCTAATGACCTGCTTGGCGAAGAAGAGGTCGGGATGCACTTGGCCGACGGACGGCGCAGACTCGGCGCGGTGGTTGGGCTCCCACTTGAAGAGAAAGATGAGGCCAAAGACCGGCGCGAGCTGCTGGAACTCGCTCTGGTCGAGCGAGTATAGCTCCTCGACCTGGACGCCCTTGACGCCAATGTCTTCGATGAGCGACGTAAAGACACCTAGGACACATGGCCATGAGCGCTTCGTCGTGGCCGTAATGCTCGTCGGCGCGGCTGATCCAGCCACCACCGAGGCCATCAGGAGCGTCTACCTGGGTCCGACTCGATCGTGCACCAACTCATGCTGCTGCTGGCAGAAGATTTCGGCGTTGTGTGTGGTTCGCCGACTGAAATCGGATTTTTAGCCAATCCCATGCAGCAAAGTGGAAGATCGATCGTTCATTGGTTGATACCCGTTCGGATCTTCCCGGCAAAGTGAACGCTGGCGCCCTTGTCGCCTCGGACGCCCTTGTGGCTACCACGTGGGTAGCCGATAGCTTGGCATACGATCAAACTCTTGCTCATTTGAATCGCTATGGTACTGCGCGTTGTCTACTCGCTACGCCAAGTCGACTAGACTCGGCCCCTTTGCTAGAGCAGCATGGACCGAGTTGCTCCATGGGTCGTGCAGTAGGTGCAGAGCCTTTCGTGCAGAGCTACGATGTCTGCATCGGCGTGGAGAAAGGTGTTGCTCACTTTATTGGTAGCTCGGTCTCTTTGTACCTGCCTCTCTCAGCGCCTAGTGGTCTAACGACTTGCCCGCGGCTCCCTCGGCGAGCACATTCCTTACGGCGCCGTCGAGGTCGTTGGCAGCATAATTTGAAGCGCTAAATATCGCACGGGACCACTGGACCACAATCACGATTCGGCCGCAGTCGTAAAAAGTACTTTTAGTGAAACCGATGCAGGCGCCGATCGGTGTCCAGATCATTCAGAACATCGTGCCGCACCTCGGCACGCAGGCCACGTCGCTCGAGAAGGTGCTGCGAACGCTCTGCGCCAAGATCGAGACGCTGGAGTCATACATCAGCGCCATATCGAATGGCGTCACAGAGATGGACCAGCGCCTCCGCACGATTGCGCACAACATTGAAGGCTCGACAGACGCAGTTGACGCAGGCAGCGTCATCCACTTTCCGCTCGAGCGCAAGCTCAGCGAGCGCGCGTCCTCGAATGTCGTCGACAACATCATCAAAAAGTTTGGCCCCGGTACCAAGGTGCGGCACCACCGGCATCGCCACCACACCAAGGCGGCGACAGTCGACGAGACAACCCCAGACATGAGCCAGTCGCGCACGTCTGCGCCTGCAGTCGAGTCGCCAAGTATGATTCTTGAAGAGGACCGACGCAGTAGTCCATTGTCATCGAACGCAACCGGCGACACGGCTGTACCCAGCATTGTGGCCACGGCTGCTGCTCCCGAGATCGCGACACCAGCAGCGGTCGAGCCACAGACGGCCTCGGAGGCGACGTCTCAAGAACCCTTGGAAGCTCGTACGTATGCAGCCGCGGAAGGTCCCCTCCAAGAAGCCTCGGAAGCCGTGCCGCAGGCCACGCCAGAGAACCCCATCGAAATGGCGCCGCAAGTAGCGAGAACGACAGAAGCGCCGACCGACGCTGCGTTGGACGCCGCCCAAGCAACGGCAATCGCATCGGATACGGTCGACGTCCCGACAACGCCAATCGAAGCAGCCGCTGCAGTGTCGGCGCTCGACGACAACCAGCTAGCAGCACCAACAACTGCGCCCATCGCCAGCCCAGCACCCCTTGCGGTAGACGAAGCGGCCATGTCAACAGAGCCGTTGAGCGCGTTTCAGGACAATACGCCGGGTACCGAAAGCATCGTTACGGCGCCACAGACGTCGATGGATGCCAGCGACGTCGCGCCTCCGGTGGCGGCGGCATTGCCATTGCGGCGGTCGCAGACCGTGCCCCCGATGCACATGGATGCGCTGTCAGCGGTGGGCCTCGTGGTCGTGCGCATGCACGCGGCGCCCAAGGTGGCGCACGCCAAAGTAGCACCAATACCGAGTGCCACACTCGATACGACCCCCCAAACGGCGGCAGCACCCGTGTCAGTGACTGTTGTCTCGTCCCCAGAACGGAGCAACACCAGCACGGAAGCTCTCCCCCGGGTGCGGTCCAAGCAAGGATCGATGCGTCGCCTGTCATCGTTGAAGCGCAACTCGATTGAGGCCGCGCCGTGCACTCCGCCCTTGCGATCGGTTGACACCAAGAGCAACGAGAGCGGCAGTGATAGCTACAGCGACGACGATGACGTTGACACTGTCGTTGACGACCCAGTGAGGCCACCGACACCCAACGCTTTGTCTCGGGAAGAGATCGCACGGCGCAAGGTGCTTGGAAAAGCCGCGTGGGAGAAGCTGCGCAAGAAGCAATTCCTGCTGACCAAAACCAAGGGGGTAGGTCTTCTTGATGCAAAAATCTGGCTAGATATATTTGGGCGTTAGAATATCCTAACGACGAAGAAGAAGGACGTTTTTACGATCGCGCGTCGGCTTGAAATGCTCGAGAAGCATTCCAAGGTACGCAGCTGCCGTCCCATACTGTCTGTCTTCACCTTGTCACTGTAGGAGCTCTTTGCGGGCTCCAAGCAGGTATACATTCTCGCTCGAGTCGTCAACACATTTTGGATAGACGACCCTCGACTTTCACAACACCATTGCCGACCTCACGACGCGTGTACTCTATATTGTCTATAAGGAGAAAGAGGGATACAAACGCACTGTTGTAGGTGCAATCCGAACTCGCCGCCAAAGCCGACGTCACGTCCGTTCTCTTCGTGACGCAGCTCCAGAACGACGCGGAGCGCTCGATACAGAGCCTCCTGGACGACGTCGCAAGACTCCAAGCGACCAAAGCTGATCTTTCGTACGCCGAAATACTACTGGATTTGTGAAAGGTGCTAAATTCAATGCTCTATAGCACGGTCGAAGCGAATAAGACGCGCACGAAAGACGCCATTGACAAGCTCACCAAAGACCTCGAGGTACCTTTGTGTATTTTTTGTATTTTTGACTGTTGACAAGCGAAATGGTGACTAGTCTCTCCAACGCAAGCTGGGTGTGATGAGCATGAGCTATGACGCCGAGTTTGCGTCGCTCGAGACGCGCCACACAACGTGGAAGAAGGAGATCGATGCCCAGCTGCTCGTACGTTTATCTATCTATCTATCTATCTATCTATCTATCTATCTATCTATCTATCTATCTATCTATCTATCTATCTATCTGTATTGCGGTCATTGATCACAAGCGGTAGACGATTGCAGGCCAAATCAAAGCCAATACGACGCGCATCGAGGACTCTCGGCGGTCGCTCAAGCGCAAAGCGGATTTGAAAATGCTACATGAGTCGCGCTTCGAGTATCTACGTCGAATGCAGGATCGATCCGAGCCCGTAGGTTGGAAGAAGCCATTCTACACCACAAAGCCAAAGAGGACGGCATGTGCATTGCTCGTTGCTTGTCGTGCCACAAGGAAGTGACAGAGAACCCCGCCGAGAAGAGCGACGACGAGGCTGCTGAGGACGACAATAGCCTCCTCAAGAAGATCAATCCGAGCGTGCATGCCCAAAAGCAAGTAGCATTCCTAAACGTATGCATCATCGAGGTCGTCCTGGATAGGTCTATCGAAGCAGCGTGCCACTGCATGCGACGCTGCAGCACCTGGAGACATCGGCGACAGAGGCACCCATGTCCCCTGGTCCCTTTCGGTAGGTCCCCTCTACCGTCTCGAACAAAGCAGACGTGTAAATATCATATCGCAGGCCACTCAACTTGGTCGCGGGCAAGAAGGTGCTCAAGGCACGACCAGGCACTGCCCCGATCCGTGCCAAGGGGAGCAAGAAGCTCGATGCGTGACGCGTCATCAATGCTGCTACGTGTATGAAGATGGATTGTCGTCTTGTCTTGTGCAGAGGCGCCACGACCCATGATGAACCATGGTCGTCGGAGGTCCGTTTTGTTGGTCTAAACCCCGTGTCAGCACTCTATGAGATGACACATGAGCCCAAGCTCAAGTACCGGTAGTAGCAGTCGAGACGGCTGTCAACGCAGTCAATGGGCCATTCTATTCAGTTTGCCATCACGCGCCGACGCGCTTGAGTTGTCGAGGTGTCCAATTGAAACGAAGCGTGTCAAAATTAGCCATGGGCAACCGAACGCAGGCGCGACCGCCGCGGCTGCCTGCCTCTGCCCGGCGCATCATCCCCGCGATCGTCTTTGTGCAGCACTTGATCTCGGCGCTGTACTTTACGGTTCTCTCGCTGCTCTACTACAACGCATCAGATGTCGATGTCATGGTCCTGCAGGGTAGCTACATGCACCTCTCGGCCGGCGTCTTTCTCTGCATTGGCGCCCTCCACGTCTACGCTCTAGTGCGCAACGCGTGTCGGCGGCGACGGCGGTACCAGCTCCTCACTCGCTTTACCCCGCCGTGGACGACGCTCCTCTCCCCCAACTCGTACATCCTTCTATCGCATTTCGTGGAGGTGGGTTGCGAGAGCTACTTTGCCTACCTCCTCGCCGACTCGATCGTGCAGCAGCACGTCTCGTTCTTGTATGCGATCGTGCTGAGCGCCAACTGCCTCGTGACGCCGTGGGTCGTCTTTGTATCGGACGTGCGTCTCAAGACGCTGCTGCTCGATGCCATCGACTGCTTTGCTGGCTTTCTCCTCGGCACGTGCTTTCCGCTCGTGTATTTTCTGCTACCGCTGCTGCACTACAGCTTCTTCGGCAACGGGTTTGAAGACAACGACTTTGCGTGGCACGTGCGCTTCATTCCACCGGCGCGGCTGCTCGTCACGTCGTCGGTGGCGCACCTCTTTCTTCTCGCGACGCCCAGCGTTGTAACATGGTGCACGCTTCGGCGCGTCACCCGCGTCGTCAACACGACGTGGCGAAAGCGACCGCGGATGTCGGTGGCGCCTACGCGCTTGTATGTGTCGCCGGTGCTCCTGCAGTCGCTCTCGACCATCAACGCGGTCAGCGAGCGGCCACGGACTCTCCGCACCCTCGTCCTTGTGTACAGTCTTTGGGGACTTGTCGTCGCAGGCATGTCAGTGCACGCGACCTTTCTACGGCCGCCGAGCTGCCCGAGCGGCTGCGCGTATGCAGCGGCTCCGTGGTTTGATGCGTCGTGCCATTGTCTCTACTTTAAGCTCAACTGCGTCGCTCACGAGATTGCCAACAGCACACAAATAGACACATATCTCGAAGGCCTTGGCGCGCGCGTCTTGTATCTGCATATACAGCAGTGCGACATGCCGATGGGCCTCACGGAAGCGACGCTGCGGCAATTTCCCAGCCTCTATGCGCTCCGTCTCGAGATGACGCAGCTCCGCGCCTGGAACGTTCCGAGCGCGGCGCTTCCGTCGACGCTGATGCGGTTTGAGGTGCGGTACAGTGCGCTGGCGACGGTGCCGCAGATCCTGTACGACCCCGCCGCGAGCCTCAAGTGGGTCTACCTCATTGGCTCGCAGCTCCACGACGTGCCTGACGATGTACGGTGGCGAAATCTGATTTCGATCTGGCTAAGCGAAGGCACGTTTACGCGTGTGCCACCGCACATTCTGCGCTTGAACCAGATAGAGGTTCTGGCGATGGACCGCAACCAGATCGATTCACTCCCAGACACCATGGCGACGAGTCTCCCTAGTCTCTTGTGGCTCTACATGGAGAGTAATGCGCTCACGAGCTTTCCGGCGTCGCTGGTGACACCGAGGCGTCACTTGTACTTTGGTGGCAACCCAATTGCAGAGATTCCAAGCAACAGCTCGAGCGCCCGCCTCCATATGGCCGGCTCTACCTACTGCAGTGCGCAAGGAGCTCATGGCGTCGGCTGTCACACGCTCTGCGCCCCTGGCTGCTCGGCGATGCTGCTCCAAAACTACCTCTGTGACCGTCCGTGCAACGTCTCGGCGTGCGCGTACGACGCCGGCGACTGTCTCTGGCAATAACAGACATCGTCGTCTTCGAGAGAGTGGACAAATGTTGCAAAAAGCCTCAATAAATGTTGCTATTTGCGATTTCCACCCAAACCTCGGCGTCGCGGAAAGGGTTCAAAAACACACAATTGGGCGCCTCGTCACGCTCCTTGTCGCGTCACGGGCAAGCGCCAAGTACACATTCTCTGTTGGCGCCAAGAATAGTGCAATGCGATCGTCGCTGCAATGCAACGCGAGTCGTGTTGTCCACGCTCCGTATCACCAACTACGGGGCGAACCGATGTGCCCGGCACGATGTCGAAACCACGACTAGAGGCATTGTAGTCTTTGGTGGTGAATTGCACGCATTGCATTGCTATGCATTTTTGTCATCATTGCTATGCATTTTTGTCATCAGTGCTATGCATTCATTATTGTCTGCATTGCGACGTGATCGTGGTAGGAATCTGCCGTCGTTGGACGCTACGCCGCGTCGACCCACGACTTGATGAGCGTCGAGTCGTATGAGACGGTGAGAATCTTGGTCGCCGAGGCAAACGCGACTCCCGTCATGCGATCGTCGCCGGCGCGGTGCGTGTGCTCGAGCTCGAAGCGGAGACTCGGGGCGCCCGCATCGTCCTTGAGCTTCCACACGTGCAGATAGCCGTCTTCGCCGACCGTCACGACGCGGTCGTCGTGCGTGTCGAGCGCCGAGAGGTGGCGCGTGTGTGCGCCGACATCGGCGGAAATCATGCCATCGTGCATGTCGACGAGCCGCAGCTTCCCCGTCGTATCGCCCGTGAGCACCCAGCGCGTCTGGAAGCATCGGAGGCTTGTGGTCGGAAACGAAGTGCCTTGGATCACATGCTTCTTCTCGAGCCCCGATGCCTCGACGCTCCAGACGATCAGCGTGCCGTCGTCGTCGCTACTGACAGCCATCGGTTCCTTGGCGCTGCCATTGGCTCCCACCGCCTGCACGGCCGCTATATATAAGAAGGATCAACATGGCCCAATGTCGTTTCAACGAGACTCTACCGTCGTGGCCCGAGACGGTTGAGTGGAGCTGGAAGTCCGAGTAGTCGCTACCTTTGGCCTCACCCGCCGACGTTTGCGACAACATGTAGAGCTTGCCGAGCGACGAGCCTACGCGACGGCAAGGTTGCGCTATCGTTGCAAGAGGCACAGGCGTTTGACTACCGACGAGGATCGACTTGGTCGTGGTCTCGGCGCAGATCCCACGGCAAAATTGATACTCGCCCTCTGCATCATCTTTCGTGTGACATCACGGTTGGGGATAGAAGACGACGGTACCGCTGCTGCTGGCCGCCTCCTTGGTCAGCGCCAGCGAAAAGTCAAGTGTTCACCGAGAAGGTCCAGATCTACATGCTCCATCGATGCGTCGAGTATATCGTCAC